ATAACACTTGGCTCAGGGAACCTCTCCAAGATGGTGCCCTATGGGGAGGCAGGAGACACTGGCCACTCTGGGGCTCATGACAGATTCGGATCACAAGTCCGATGGCAGAGAGCCAAACAGGACCGGCATGCATTAGGTCCCAAAAACATCACAGGGCAATTAATAACATTTACAAGCAAATTAACACAGCTCAAGGCTGATAACCCTTCCAGAATATTCCTCAGCCCGATATTCCCTGGGATAAGCTCCAAGCTCACCGTGACCCTGGACCAGATAAGCGGCGTGGAAGATGAATCGATGTGTTAAAACACCTGACATTTCATTACTTTACTCCCTGTTTTGCTGAGAAACCAAAAAGCACTTTGTATTGTGCTGCTCGACTCATCCTATATACCGGTCTGCAAGCTAGGGTCAGATTTAAGGTTTCAGAGGTGCTGCATAGTAAAGGAAATCCAGCAAACAGCCTTTGAGCCTGTGATACATTAATGGCCATGATAAGTGCACTTTTACTGGGTCATGGAATTGAGGAAGTGAGAAGGGCATCAACCGTGAAAGTTAACAAAATTATTCATGAAATTATGTCTGCGTTGAGCCCTTCTTGGTGCAGTGACCTCAGTGTGGGTGTTTACCAACACTGAAAACACGCATTTGCGGGGCCCCTCCAGAGGTTGGGGGCCCTCTGTTGGCTACAAACCATCATTACTCTTGGGGAGCAGGGGCCCCCGAAGGAACTTTTTGATGGGGGCCCCAAAACTACAAAATTCGGCAATGATTGACCCATCCTGTCCTCCACAAAAATGTTTTTTCGGTACAAGTGGACAGAAATATGTACCAATGGGAAGAAAAAGAGAAACTCTTTAAAGATGGCAACAAGGAAACCTTAGCCTTATCTAAATATACAGGTTTGAAAAACATCATGAAGTTTGGAACAAAGAACTGCAGCAATCATGCAAAAACAAAAAAACGGGGCACTTGGCATGTGGTCCAAGCTAGAACTTCCTGGTCTAAATACATCATAAGTTATTTTTATGTGTTAAGTGTTACGGATAGTTTCCACATACACACTTTGTTTTTAAGTTTTTTGGCTTCAACCAGCTAAAAGCTGCATACATTTTTACGCAATATTATTTTTAATTAGAAATTATATCCATATACAGCTCTGAAAAAAATTAGTGACCACAGCAAAATTTTCAGTTTCACATATTTCCCAATTTATGGGTATACGCCTGTGTAAAATACAGACGCTCCTCTACTTACGAATGAGATACGTTCCGAACGGCCGTTTGTAACTTGAAATGTTCATAAGTCGTCATTTAACATCATTTTAAGGGTATACGCAAGTACAAAGAACTAGGATGCTGGGAGTTTGCACGCTACGCTGCTGCGCGGCGGGAGTAGCGGCCAGAAGTCATACTAGGCGGAATTGGCGCGCAGAAAAAAAATTATGTTGTGGACAGGAAACGGGAGCCCAAAGAACATACTTTGGACTTACAGTCCTCTTTGTTCGTATGTCTGAAAGTTCGTAAGTTGAAAGTTTATAAATAGAGGAGCGTCTGTATACATCTTGTTTGTTTTTTTTTGCAAACTCCAGCCTGACTCTTCCCTGTTTCTCATTAATGAAGGCCTTCTTCCTTGCTTTATGGGTCTTCAGTCCTGCTTCTAGGAGCCTGATACGAACTGTTCTAACAGTGCACTTCGTACCACTTAATGTTTCCCATTCCTTTTGAAGGTCACTTGAAGTTATCCTCTGATTTATGAGGCACTGAGGGATGTTGATGGTCATCTCTGGCATTAGAAAGTTCCTTCTGCCCTCTATTTGGGTAGTTTTAGGTTATTGCCAAAGTCTCCTGCTTCGCTTTGCTCTTAAGGACTACTGTCTTAGGAATTTTGAACCTGGAAGCAGCCTGCCACGCAGTGTAGCCTTCTGCCAGCAGAATCAGGATTAAACCAGGATTTAAAAATGCAGATTTAAAAAAAATATTATCTCTTAATTATTTCCAGAGCTGTATTTAACAAAAACTAAACAGCACAATGTGAGTAATGCTACTCACGTCCATCCATCCATCCAACCTCCATCTTCTTATCTTTGTCACGGCCGTGAGGAGACCCAAAGGCACATCAAAATTAGTGCCATTAGTGCTCATGTTCTTGCAATAAGTATTCATAGATAGCTTGGACTGAACTTCTACAGAGTAAGACATTCGAAACAAGGTATTCAAACTAAAATTGCTACTTGTGTCAGACATTATTGTACGGACCTTTTCCTGATAAAAAGATCACACAGAGACTGTTCTGACTCACCATTTTCGGTTCGCTCCGATTAAAAAAAATTACCTGTGAAAGTCACACAGCATGGTGCAGGTCTAAAAGAGGCTCCCTTTGAGCGTGCAGTCAGTATCGGGTACTGTAAAGGTCCAATTCTCCTCACCTATCTACATATTATGGATTTCAGTCCAGGCCAATAATTATTTCTAATGCGTGAACCATCAATTGCCTTTTCTTTATTCTCTTACATTAGACCGGATACTTTTGTCAGATAGTTAGCGGTATAATTGCCCGCTCATGAAAACATAGTTTCCTCACACCCTGGTGAGTGTGGTGAAGTGAACTAAAGGGCAGTGAGGCTTCCATTTGCGTTAAAAGGTTTTTATTATACCATTTCATGGGCAAAAAATTATGATGCACATACATATGTGATTTATTGTTATCCAGCGTATAGACGACATAGGCCTAGATGTTCACCTGACAGTATAGAACAATAAGACTCCTTTGTTTCATCATATTTAAAAGAGTAAACCAAATGTAAAAGTTATGGATCAAATTTCTGTTGATTTCTAAAAGTTGCCTGACTTAACCATAGTGTTTAATGTATGGTATTTATCACTGTTAGCGGTCCAGCTAGATAGCAACCTGCTGTTCGGTGATTAATGTGCTCCTTACATCAGCTAGTCATCCTGTTCCAATTAAAAGCTGTACCCTGCACAGTCAGGCTGTGACACGTGCCAAAGTAAATCAGATTCTGTCAGTTCTTTTTTTTAAAAAAAAAACAAAAAAACAAACACTGGTAATTGCATTTCAGGGAAAAAATAAAACGTGACTGAATACAACACCGAAACACCGTGACAGTAGCTGATAAAGGGGCTTAATTAAGCTTCTTAGCTTTTAGGAATTAAACATGAAATAGTCCAAACAATGTAACTTGTATGCAAACACTGACACATTTGCAGATAAACAGGCCTACAAGATACAGCTTTAAGAGTATAAATGCGGGTTTTTACCTTTCGATATTTATTTAACAGTTCAAAGTAGGCCAACAAGTACATTTTTTGCTTCGATAAAAAAAAATAGTTAATTTTGAGTGAAGTGATAAGGTGAATTCATCTCATAAAACAATTAGTTATAAATTGATTTGATGTGGTTCGAACTGTGATCATGAGTATTTTCATGTGTAACATCATCATATACGTGCCCCACTAGAACTATGTGTTACCGGTATTGCGGAATCGGCCGGTCCTGAAACCGGTTTCCTGCCCTTCATACTCCGACAAAGGGCTGCAAGACAGAAGCGTCGCTACAATCAATGAAAAAGACTGTGTGAAAAACTGAAGTGCGCATGTATTACTCTACTCCTTGTTAATTTTACTCATCGCACTTAACTTTAGTATTTATTTTTGCGGAATTACAAAGGTTTATATGAATCATGTGAAATTTAACAGCATTTATTTCTATCCCTGGCCTGGCTGATGCTCCTACGCCCGCAAACAGGTAGCCTAACAGGACTCCGGCATGATCAAAGCCAGAGGACTCAATGACACAGAAAGGAGAGATGAGATATACTACACTAGGCTACTAATGCTGTGCGCATAGGCAACAACAAAATAAAAGAAAAAATATTAATATCTGCCTATAATCGATCAGCAGATAACAAGCGAGCTGATTTTAATCCCTGCGACACTGAGACTGAAAACGCTCAAACTATACCGCTAAATGCTAGATCATACAATAAATAACTTCGCACACAATTACTTATCATAAATATAATTATGAAACTGAACGTTCATCTTCTCTCACAATTGTGCAGCATATTTCAGTACGACGTTAACTAACGGGGGGAAAAAATCACGTATACCCTGCGATCGCCTCTAGGACATTATTAGGCTGTTATAACAGCCACCAGAAAGCATCCCCCGGCTATCCGGAGAGGCGCAAAGTTTTGCTTGCTGCGACATCTGCAATATGACCGATGCGCAGACACACACGCACTCGGGGGCAAGAGGACGGCCGCTCGGAGGGGCTGCAGAGGTGCTGCCGCCGCCCGGCCGCTGCTGCGCTTCCAGGCCACACCCACCGCATTGCAGAACCGGCCATGGAAACGCCGAAAGCATCGCATCGGGGCTGCCAGTTAACACCGTCCCGACAGCAACCGCAACATCTACCTTCTGATGCACCCATCGCAAAAATGAAAACAAATTATAAAATATTACTGCCCCAAAACAGCATCATTTACAAGTGATCCGAGGCACTTTTCTTCCTAGTTTATAGGCTTTCTATAATAATGAGTAAGACCGCCTACGAGCATCTATAATAACATGTTAAGTATGATCTCAGCACCCGTAATGATAGGATGTTCTCCTGTCCCGAACATACTACATGGATTTCCCTCAAATGCGGGTAGCCTAAATTTACACGGCCGAAGCTTCTTTTTTTCCTGTTTTCAGCCCGGTGTTTTTCTTTACTGTGACGGGAAGCACCTGCACACAACTCCCACGCAAGCTTCTACATTTCTAAGCATCTTACAATATATCTGTGGGTTTTTTTTAAACGGTCACAATACAAGGAGAACCAGCATCCTAGGAAAGCCGGACCTTCTCACACAGACGAGGAACATCCACACGCAAACTGTCCCGTATGTATATACAGACATATAAATAAAGGTATCGATTATTTTTTTAAACCGCAATTCTGAATTGCTCAGTTGGACATGCCGTTTGTCCGTTTACCGGGTGTTGCCTCCTCCCCTCCGGCTGGCAGGTCGTACCTTCACACAGTCGCGGCTGCTGACTCCCCCAAAGTCTGTCCTCGTGCACCAGCAGATCTCGCCCACCGTACAGCGCTGGGATCGGGCAGCGCTGCATGCTGGGATACCCAAGGACATCCCGTGGAAGAAAACTAATTTACCGGGCAAAAAATGCTGTGCAAATAAGTACTCTCTCAGCAGAATAGCATTATCATCGGAGACGAGACTTTTCCCATCACTTACAGTCTATAAGATTATTATTTTCTTTACCCAATCCCTTCTTAAAGCAAATACATTCCCAAAAAGTATTTTTACTTTGATCCCCAGTGAGCCATTAAATGAGAGGGAAGTCTCCACAGAAGGACTTGCTTCAGCAATTAGCATCTTGTTTACCTTTAGGAGCTTGCGTGTTTACTGCAATTGCACACTAATCAGGGTCAGGTGACCTCATTCAGGGGGGTAAGGGTAGAAACAGAGAGTGCTGCAGCAATGGAATGGTTCTGGACCCCAAGGGAAACTTTAAGCGAGTCTGCTTGCTGGGGCCAGGATGTCAACAGATCCTAGAAGCATCTCCAAGAGTCCACTTAATCTCATGCCCTCCAATTATAAGTGGGAACAGACAATCTGCCACACACTCAAGCCATCCCAGTGCCCATTAAATTAAAGCGTCCTTGCTCTACAGAGCATCTCCATTTGCATAAAGTTCCTGTGATCTCTGAATGTCAGCTGGACTCTATGTGCTCTTTAAAGCTTTTTAACAGGCTCTCTGTGTGAAAATGGCATGGGAACAGTTCCTGCAGTCTGCTACGGTCCACTTTGGACCCTTCTCAAGTCATATTCGCTGCTTGTTCAGGTCTTTTTTCATAATGTGTAGAGTTTGGTGTGACATTAAGAAGGCAGTGCTGAGAAGAGACTTTTTTGGAGGCAGGTTCTCGGGGGGGTGGGATGGAGTGTTGGGGTCCAGTGATCAAAAATGGGCACTGAGAACCTCAAGGGGGGGGGGGGGGCATTTTCAATTGTTTGGGCAAAAGGGGCAGCCCCCCCCCCTCCACCTCCTACACCCCACATGATCCCTGGCAAAATATCACCTTGGGCCCCTGTTACATTATATAATTTTATAAGTGTCCATAATCAAGGGCCCCTAAAACGTGATGTGGCCCCTGAACCTGCTGTGCTCCTGATTATTAGTCTGGGTATTTGAAATTATTTTGTTACTTCAGTTCCCAGACTTTTACTTACTGACTTTACAGGAACCTGGCTTATCCGGAATATAATAATTAATCTCTGGCCATGCAGCACTGGTTAATATGCCATTTCTGTGGACCCCCACCCTCCATATGGTTATCTTCAGGAAGTGTGGTTCGCTCACAGCCACATAATTGCCTACAGGAAGGAGGGGACCTAAATTCCTCCAGACCTTTAGTTGCCCTTTATGTGAAAGGAGCTGCAATCATAGTTAATCAGACTTCATGTGCATCTTACTTGAAATGACGTAACAAGGTGAAGAGCCTCGGTTCAACCAGTAAGTCTCTCCCTATATCTGGACCACAAGCCCACGTTAATTAATCACCATGCCAACAAGCTGTTTTAGACTTAATAGGCATCCTCAAATTAATCAGAACCAATATTAGAGATGCCGATTAATGCATATAATCTGCATCCAAGGGAGTTTATCAGAACATGAATACAGTGACCTTTCGCTAAAAGGCTTCAGTGCCTTCCCCCTCAGATGACCTTTTCCTGCTGAAAATTTCCACGGCTTCCGTCACGCATATGATCACCTGCTGCGGTGCATTCGCCACATTATGATACAGAGAGGAGGTACAAGGTCTAACTCTTAGACATCGATTGATGAAACAGGCAGCTCTAGTACATGAACTATAAACAACCGCAACAACAATAGTAGTAGTAGTAGTAGTAGTAGTAGTGGTGGTAGGAGTAGTAGTAGTAGTAGTTGTTGTAGTAGTGGTGGTAGTAATAGTAGTAGTGGAAGTAGTAATAGTAGTGGTAGTAGTAGTTAGTGGTGGTAGTAATAGTAGTAGTGGAAGTAGTAATAGTAGTGGTAGTAGTAGTTAGTGGTGGTAGTAATAGTAGTAGTGGTGATGGTGGTAGTAATAATAATAATAATAATAATAGTAGTAAAAATAGTGGTAGTGGTGGTGGTGGTGGTAGTAGTAGTTTTAGGATGATTGTTGGCTAGTGATTGGAGGATTGCTTTTTCTTTTTTGGATAAGGATCAGGTTTCAGGTATGTTAGAAAACAACACCATACAAGAACACTACATCTAGCAGACAAACGCATTCAACCCCCATTCTTATACTGCTTGACGACAGAAAAACATGACACAAAACATCAAACAAAACTATGATTTACCAGATATGCAAGTACGTAGTGTCGTATGATACAAAGAATCATACAACATATAATTTACAAGTGACATCCCTAGAGCAGTGATTCTCAACCTGGTCCTTGGGGACTCCCAGACAGTCCATGTTTTTGCTTGCTCCCAGCAAGCTGGAAGGGAGCAAAAATGTGAACTGTCTGGCAGGGAGCTGGAAAGGAACAAAAACATGGACCGTCTGGGGGTCCTTGACGACTGGGTTGAGAAACACTGACCTAGGGGATGACACAAAACATCACACAAAACGCAGAGTCAGATCTGCACCCCGAAGATGTTTGAGTAGACTTCCATCTATACCCATCTGTATACCCTGACGAAGTTTGAGTATATTTCCATCTACACCAAGATCAATAACCTAAAAAAAGTTACAGTATATTTCCATCTGGGTAGAAGCACGTGAGTATGTCCATATCTGTAATAAAACATTTTAAAGCAGCATCGATTCAGCCAGTTACTAAATCTGTCTCCCGGTTTGGGTTTCATGAAACCGCAGTGACCACTGGGTTTTCAGAAGCCCGTTTCCCGCTGGACAACTGTGTGTTACAAGAATGGTCGCTCAGGTGGTGGGACAGTGATTCGGAGGGTCTGCAGTGCAGAAATGGATCCCTGCACTTTGGGGTGTTATGAAAATAAAACACGGACAAAAAGAATGAATCAGGTGATGTGTCTGATGAGAAATGTCACAGCACTGCTACTGGGGACAGGGTGATGGATTTTTTATTTGGAAGCAGACAGAATGGCTTCTGTGCCGTGCTGGATTCCGGCTCTGTGAATGAACTCCCTGCTGCTTTGTATGGCCATCGCCTGCCAGTGATTACAGCCAGACAGCGAAGCGAAGCCAAAGGACACAGACAACGACAGCTACGGTGAAAACTTTTTCTTTCTTTTTTTCATTTAGTAGACATGCATTTTCTTTTTGAGAAAGCAGGGTCAGACAGTCCTTGGAGCAATTCGGGGGTTAAGGGACTTGCTCATTTGCCCGATGCTGAGATCACTATGCTGATCCTAAGATTTGCACCAACAACCATACAGTACAATCATAGGCACAGACTCCCAACCCACTGAATCACAGAAGGTTTTCAAATTCGCTGTAACTCTCAGCCCACCCTGCCAATTCCCCCTGCTGAAGTACCACTGCACGACCAATCACAAAATTAAACATTAATAGGCAAAATAAAAGCCACAAATCTTATCTCTTTTGATGTTTTTTTCCCTTCTCCTTTAGGCTCTTTCATGCCGCCTGATTACACCTAGCTTTGGGAATAGTCACAAATGTTGCCGACAGCCTTGCTGAAAGATGAGATTGCACACGAATCGGCGCTCGCCTCCGTCTGTGAGAATAACCTGTGCTCCCGATGGAGAGAAACCGAAACTGAGTGGGCACCTGCAGGCTTTCTGGGCATGATGTGGAGTCACGGCCATCAGGAGGACTCCTTCTGCCCTGGAGAAGCATGCATGCACCTGAAGCACACAGCCCACACTCCAGGCGAGTCTCAGAACTCAGTATCACTCAAGACAGACATTATATTTTAATATGTGCAATTTTGTTTATCCAGGGTGCACCCCAGCCCTATGTGCTGCCTGAGATAGGCTCCGACCCCCCCTCCCCCAACCTACACACAACTCTGTCCAGGATTAGTGGTTAAAAGATGGATGGTTTTATGTTTAAGTAGTTTAAGACTGGGAGATTTCATCCCATTACAGGACACACATTCATAATAGCCAACTTACAGGCTCTGATTCGTCTAAATGGTGTGCTTTTGGACTGCGAGAGTTTGCCAAAGAATCTGGAGAAAACCCACAGGAACCAAGGAAGAAAAGGCAAAATCCTGGTACGCAGAGTCAGGGATGGGACTCAAACCCAAAGCCCTATGACAGTGAGCTATGGTGCCAATCTCTGACCCACAACTATACTTGGTCAGGTATGTGCACTAATGCAAACTTTGATGCAACATGATAGAGCTTTTACTCCTTCCTACAGCCACTAATCCTAGCCACAGTCACACGACGTCCATCACGGGGCACGTACAACAATCATACACTGCAGGCAATTTAGACATCAATGAGTCAAACCCATGCCCAAGGCCTGTGGGAGGAAAATGCAAACTCCACACACACAGAGAAAAACGGGATTCACAGCCCCAGTCCTGGAAGTGTGAGTCACAGTACATGTGGCTACCAGACTCAGAGACTCTGTGACAGCAGCTTGATTCTAGAACTCCAGTAACACCACTGGAATTTTCCATTCGAATCAATATTTAGGCTCCAAAATACTTCAGAGGGTAAGTATTCCTTCCTGAGTGAAGGCTGTCTTATATCTCAGATAACAATATAACAGAAACAACTTCATAATATATCAAACTTACCGGTTAATAATACAAGAGATGGAGGAGTGTCAGTTTTTGCTGGCAGTTTGGAAACATAACTATTATAGTTCTGCCTTAAAGAGGAGGGTGTAAATTGGCCAGGGTGTGTCAGCCGCATGCTTCTGGGTGACAGCAGTAAGAGACACCACCTGTCACAGCTAACCTGTAGCGTTAAAGCAGAACCTTGGGTTTGGCAGCCAGTCTGCTGCTTGCTTGCACACACAGGCTATAGGCGATAAGAATGGGATCCTCATAGGAGCCCATTAAAGATATGAGAAATATTAAACTGTTAAAGGGAATGTGCGT